GAATTTCAAATGTCTAAAAATTCCTTCGCATTTTTTTCATATAACAAAAAATTCTGAAAATTTTTTATACGAAAAAATGTGTATTCAGCAAAAAAAATCTCAAAAATCTAAACAGAAGCATGTTTCTTAATTTTCGAACACTGTTTAAATCTTGGATTTAAATGGGGTTTGATAAAATATAAGCAATTTTTTAATACAAAATTAACAAAAAGATTTTAGCATGGAAAATATTGCGAATAATAACAAAAAAGAGTCGTACGCTCAATTTCGTGAGTAACTGTAAATAAAAACTCAAATAAAAAATTCATTTGGATTCACCCACGTCAATATTAAAATTCATGTTCATCAAAATTTTCCATATCATTGTGAATTTATTAAAAATGTCTTTCAATAGCATATTCCCTAGTTTTTTTAAAGGTCTTACTACACAAAAGGCATTGTATGCCACCAAAAGAATTTTCAATATACGATGCATCGATATTTTTGAAACATCAATAATATCGGTTCAAAACTCGATATTTGCCATCGATGTTTACAATTTCTTATAATCGCTAAATTGGCGATACATCGATGTCAGTTTCAGCGATGTTTTAAACATCGACTTTAGTTTGACACAGGCTTGCTTTGGCTTCAACTTAAGCTCGCTATACAGTTCAATGCGAGCATGAACGTGAACTTTTTATTTCGACTAATAGCTTCGCTTTTACTTCACGTTTTGCAATAGTAAATATATCATAAGATAGAGAATTAAAATATCATTAAGAATTATAGAATTAAAAATAATTTAAAATGTTTAATAGGCATATTTTACAAGCTCCCACTCAGCTGTGTGCATACGCAAAGCTTTCGCATGTAAACGATAAGCGTGTGTGAGCGGACTCCCGTTAGAATTTCACAAAATTAGGTATTGGAACTTTAGGCGCAGCGCACTTACGGCGCACACTGGGTCCAAACCTGACAAATTTGAACAAAAAGCTTTTTTTCAAAACTGAGAAATTCAAATGTGCAATTCAAATTGTTACTGTAAGAAAGTGGTATTATATTTCGTTATTTTGTTTTTTCCATTACTTAAAATGAAGTTTATTTATTCTTTTGTGTATTTTGTTTGAAATTATGTGCTTTAAAAAAAAATATGATTAAAAAAAACTAAACTAACCTCTGTTTTTTGCATGTGTAATTTTCAAAATCAATTTGAAGTGAAACTTCTTAGGCGGCGGTATCGCAAAAATGGAGTGTGAAATTTTTAAAACTGAAAACGTGACATGAGTGAGAAGGAAGATATAGGTAGTATAGGGAAGGGGAAAAAAGAAATAAAGCGACGCATGTGGGGTACGAGTACCTAATTTTATGTTTTTATACTCTTGCTACCACATGAATATATGAATTCGGGATAAGAATATATGAATTCGCCTTGGAAGATAGAAAGCGAGTAAGAATAAATGCCGAACAAAGGAATTTGTCTTCTTTCAATTTAAATACATGCAATGAAATGTAGAAAAGTAGGTTTATAAGGCACTTAAACTTGAAAAAGGTAAAACGAACTTCAAAAAAAGGCACATATTTTTTTAATTTTGTTATGTACTTCCTTTATGTACAATGTGAAGGTCCAATTAAAGATATAAAAAAATACATACAGTGGTCAAAAAATTATAGTTTTAGCGTATTATATTTGTTGTTATTGAACATTTGTTAAATTTAAAAAAAAATATAGTTCGTTCTTTAACAAAACCCGTGGAAATTCATGTTTCCAAATTTTAGCAGTCCACTTGCATTTATACGAATGTTGGTAAAGAACGAACTATAAAAAACTAACCGAAATTAAATAACAACAAAAATAATATTTAAAACTTGTCAAAATTTGGTGCGGCTATAATTTTTTCGACTACTGTACATAAGTTGGCTATGATTACTCGGCCGTGATATCATAGTAGTACAATGCCACTCATATTTGACTTACAAACAAACTACGGGCAGGAATTTTAAGATTTCAACCCTGTTTTTATGAAAATTTTTATTTTTATCAGTATTTTTCTTTTAATCAAAATATGTTGAAATAAAAGTGAAACTAAAAAAAAATTTGCCAGGTATCTTTTCGAGTTCCTCCTGAAAAGTTATGAATCTCTTTGATTGTCTTATTCCCTTCGACTTCCGCCAGTGTGCAGCAATTCCCAGCTAGCTCCTAAGTAGGTCTACAGTGTATCCTTTAGATGTACCGCAAAAAGGCTCGGAACTATGCAAACGCATTTGGGCTCCACTCTTTGCAAGACAGTCAGCCCTTTCGTTGCCTTCAAACCCTTCATGTCCCTGAACCCTCCACAGCGGTACGATATTGTGGGCTCCCAGGTGGTTCAAGAGTTCACAAGCCTTGATGCCGTTTTAAAAGACTCTAAGGCTTCTAACGCTGCCTGAATATCTGACATAATATTTATTCTGGCCTCATTTGCCTTCTACGATAAAATTCGCGAACACAGACTTCGATTGCGAAGGCCTCCGCCCAGAACATTTGCAGACTTTCCTGGAATCTTGGTCCAAGTACGCCATAAAGTATATAAGGATGTTCGTATTGTATATTGGCAATAATAAGGGTATACGTTTGTACTGAGGAATCATGTTTGCGGCCGCCGTTATACGAACGCACCGGTGAAATATTCATGTAAAAAAAATGCTAAAATGTTTATATACATATTTTCTATTTTTCTCAAATAACTATTACTCGTAGTCCCGAAACCTACCAAAATCCAATCAAGCATACCAACCTACCAAATGGAAAAAACACCTACCAGTTTTGGTAGGAAAAGCCCATGTTTGGCAACACTGCTCCTCATATTCGAGGGAGAGGAAATTTCTTTGCTTTTTTGGTTCGGGAATGAAATTTTTTGTCGATTGCTTTCCGAATGTGAAAGATGATAAATTTGTTTGCATTTTTCACTCGCTATAAAAGAATGTAAAAATAATTGTGGAATAGTCTTGATAGCGAACGTGAGAGAATGTGAGTGAGAATACACATTTGTGGTCATAAACGGGCGGCACTACGTCCATTATCCAAAAATGTGTAATAATCTAATTTTGTGCTAAGTGGTTATTGTAATTATAGATTTTAAGTCGATTAGCTTCAGTAGTTATTGATATATCGCAGTTTTCGTGTTTCTGTAAATTACCGTTATATGGGAAGTGGGCGTGGTTCCAGTCCGATTTCGCCCATTTGCAATACCAACCTACCTTGGGGAAAGGGCAACCTACATACCGTATTTCGTTGAGATATCTCAATTTTTGCTCGAGTTATCGTGTACACGGACGGACGGACGGACAGACAGACATGGCTTAATCGACTTCTCTTTTCATTCTGAGCATTTATGTATAAATTTGTCTATATCAATATCGATGCGTAGTGGCTGTTACAAACAACCGTTATGTGAACAAAGTGCGCTCGGGTATAAATACACATCAAAAATTAATCCCTCGGCCCAAAATGTTAATATACCATTATTATTATTATTATTATATTTGATCAAATTTTACAAATTTTTTCATGTATGCAGGGTCACCAACTTTAAATACATATAAAAAATAAACCAGGTCTATAGGCTGAAAACCGTTTGGTATTTTGTTATGCTTTCATTTACTTTTACTGTGTGTGATCAGCTCTTAACATTGGCAGTAGATTTGGGTATTTAGCGTATATGTATGGTACGTATGTACATGCAAGCACATTAGAGTGGTTCCTAAAAACTCTCTTTTTGGAAATTAATTAACGCTACATCAGAATATTGCTATTTGTGATAAAAAAAAGACACTATTGTTTCATTTTGAAAAAAAAGAAGTTTTTTTAGAGGTCGCGCTGTTCGGATTTTATAAAAACGCTGATGTTGATAATAATGTGGTTTTTACATATAATTACTCTGGTATTATTGAGGAACATTCCCTTAAATGCACACCTGTCTTGGACAGTTAGAATGGGCCTAGTTCCCGAAAATATTCCCTCCAAAAGACATTAGTAAAATTAAAACGTTGATACTGAACGATTTACCATTTGTCATGGGTTGGACCTTGTTACCAAGGGGACTTCTGGGGTTGCTAATTAGGAATCTGGAGTCAGTTTTTCAAAATTCAAAATGGCGGATCCAAAATGGCGATCCATTTTTTTTTTTAATTATTGGATTTGTTCGAAACACGGCACTCGAGAGTTCGAGGTCGCCGATTACGAATCTGAAGTCAATTTTTTTACATTCGAAAGTGCGGATCCAATATGGCGATCAAATTAAAATAAAAATCCTAAAATTAAAAAGTTTGATACTGAACGTTTTAAGCATTGTCAAGGGTTGAAACTCGTTTCCAGAGGGTCTCTGGGGTTGCTGATTACGAATCTGTTGTCAGATTTTCAAAATTCAAAATGGCGGTTAAGAGTTTCAAACAAATAATAATAATAATAATAATTTTAGTACTTTTTTTTTAATTTGATCGCCATTTTGGATCCCCCATTTTGAATTAAAAAAAATTGACTTCAGATTCGTAATCGGCGAGCCCAAAAACTCTCGAGTGCCGGTTTTCGAACAAATCCAATAACCAAATAACTGACTTCAGATTCCTAATTAGCAACCCTGATAACAAGTTCCAACCCATGACAACTCGTAAATCGTTCAGTATCAACGTTCCAATTTTACTAGTCTCTTTTCGAGAGCATATTTTCGGGCGTCAGGCCCATTCTAACTACCCAAGACAGGTATGTAATTAAGGGAATGTTCCCCAATAATACCAGAGTAATTATATGCAAAAACCACATTTTTACCTGAATTTTAACATGTCAAGAAAATAAAAAAATTGAGAACATCAGCGTTTTTATCAAAAACCGACCAGCGCGACCTCTAAAAAAACTTTTTTTTTGTTTTTCAAAATAAAAAAACACATATCTCTTTTTTTTATCACAAATAACAATAATTTCCAAAAAAAAAAATTTAACCACTCTAATGCACATCTATTGGTATATATGCGGTAATATTTACCTTCAGGATCCAGCAGACGCGTAACTCCATATTCTTTTTCGACTATATGGAATGCTTGCTCCAAACGCTCACGTGGTCGATCCATTCTTGCCTTTCGCCAATCAAGCAAATCTGGGCGATTGCGGTGGACTAATGCAGAAAATGCCAGACCATCTCGCCAAGAGGTTGTGAAATCATTTACCCGCACACCTGGATAACGCAGCGTCGAATGGCGAGCCCATCGTAACAAAGCTTCCCGGGCAGAAACATTATCATCCTTGCCAACAACAATATCCGAAATCTACACAAAAAGATATATAAAGAACACACGAAATAATTTAATAATTGTCTGTTCGTTTAAAGTTGAACAAAATAGTTGAACAGTTATGTGTCAGAGAGTGTAATAGGAGTATTCTCGAAATGTTGCAAAGCCGTTGCACGGATTGCATAACTTGCGAACACACAACAAAATACATGGGAAACAGCATTTCCTATCGCTGAAAAGTATGCAACTTCTGGACCCATGCATATATTTTGCAAGAAGAGCATAGCAAGCTTTGTTGTTGGAATTGCTACATATTTCTCTCATTCATCTCATCTCTCTCACTTCACTTCTTTGCTGTATCTTGTTATTGTATTTGATGCAGATTTTCGCTGCTTGATACCTATGTATGCTACCATTTTGCAATGAGGTGCTACTCTTCCGAATTTGGGAGAGTATTTGTGCATTTCGTGCAATCCGTGCAACGTGCAAGACTTCGAGAATACCCCTGATGTGAATTTAAAAGAAGGCAGAAAAAGTAACGTCAAACATTGTTTGTAAACTCCTTACTTTTTTCATTGCAATCAATGCAAAAATATCTTATGGGTCTGTTATGGGATACCTACGGGCAATTTAAAAGTACAGCAACCAAGGCTAGATTTTAATCTTCTCTCTGTGCAAGGGTTTTGCACCCTAAAGCCGTGTATGGGGAATTTAATTCTTTGTTGTTACCAATAATACACTTTAAACACAATTCTAACAAATAAACCACATATGAGTGTTTCCTTCGGAAGGTCTATCGCGACACAAAAAATAAATAAAAGTCATATATCTAATGGTCTATTTACGGGCCAATTTGTCTGCTGGCTATATGAGTAGAAACATTTTTGCGAAAAATGGTCTTGCTAGGTGACGCCGGGGTCGAGATATTTTAAAAAACCATATTTATGGTCCGATTTGGTTCGAAATTGGCGTATGTAGTTGAAACGATGCCGTGCAATAAATAAAGCCATAGGAAATAACGTCATATGGCCTCATTTCACTTCCCATGGAGAAATAAAGCCATATGATCTTATTTCAAAACAAAAAATAAATGCCACGCATCCGGACGCGCCCCGATCGCGCCACGCGGCCCTGGTATAAAATTGTTGCTTTGTTCATTCTTCTTGCTTTTGTTGAAATACTACATATGTATGTATGTACATTAGACTGCATCACTCCCCATACAAAAAAAATCGGTACTTTTTTTCCATTGGAATTATAAAATCTATGATATTTTAAGACTTATGCCAAAATATTTCGGAAAAATATTAAGATTTAAGTGAGCTGGACCAATTTAAAAAGACCTCCAAAAATGGGGTTTTTAATGAATAAAAACAGCTTCCAAAAATATTTTTTGAAAAAAATCGCCACAGATGACTAAACAGTTTAAGCTTAAAAAATTTGCATAAAAATATTTTAAAAAAAAGTTCAACGGAATCATAATTATGAGATTTTTGATGATGTTTTTTAACTTTTTTCAAATATGGCTTTAAGCAAAACTTGAATAACTCAGCCAAAACTTTACCGATTTAGACTTATGAGGTACCATTGGAAAGGTATGTTCTCGCCCTTTTAATGATATGTCATAAGTCTAAATCGGTAAAGTTTTCGCTGAGTTATTCAAATTTTGCTTAAAGCAATCTTTGAAAAAAGTTAAAAAAAAACAGCATCAAAAATCTCATTATTATGCTTCCGTTGAATTCATTTCTATTTATTTTTACGCAGACTTTTTAAGCTCAAACTGTTTTGTCATCTGAGGTGATTTTTTAAAAAAAATATTTTTGGAAACTGTTTTTATTCATTAAAAACCCCATTTTTGGAGGTCTTTTCAAATTGGTCCAGCTCACTTAAATCTTAATATTTTTCCGAAATATTTTGGCATAAGTCTTAAAATATAATAGATTTTATAATACCAATGGAAAAACCGCAACATTTTTTGGTGATGCAGTCTAATGTACATATATGAGGTTTTCTCTTAAATTAGTAAGATATATTTACAGTTCTCAACAGGTTCTCGCTCTGAGCAGACGTATTTGCTTGTTTTCGATTTCTGTTCTGACTACTCTTTTGGTGTTTGACAAACGCGCACGTGTTTATCTTGCATTTTGCATTTTGATTTATCAGAATTTAATCTCATTAAATTTTTTACCAAGTGCATTCATTGTGTGCAAAAACAAAACATGGCCCCCGGGCCACCAAACCTCGGGGACAACAGGTTTGCGCTGCTTTCCTCAAGTCCCAAAGCAAAACGAAAAAAGCCAACATACTCCCCAATAAGCTTCCCAGGTTTACCCCAAGTAAAAAATGTAAACCCAAAATTTCTCATAATTCGTGCAACTTATTCAAATAAACCATTATCCAAATACTCGTGCTTTGCGGTGCATAAAGCCCTTGAGTCAATAAGCTAGGAAATTATCTCAATATCAGAACTTCGCGACGGTAATTTGCTACTATTAGTTAAAAGCCCTCAAATAGCCCAGAAGTTTTTTTGTGCTAAAAATCTTCCTGGTGTATGTCAAATTGTGGTAACTTATCATGAAAATCTTAACTACTCGAAAGGTACAATCTTCGCACCTGGTTTAAACAATGTGGACTAAAAAGAAATCATTGAAAATATGACTGCACAAGGTGTTGTCTCAGTGTACAAATTTACGAAGACAGTGAACAATGTGAAACATTACACCGGAGCCGTCTTGCTTACTTTCAACCTTTACAAGCTCCCGGAAAAAGTAGAAGTATCCTGGCGTAATGCAATATTTCCCCAACCCGATGAGGTGTAAAACCTGTCAACTTTTGGGACACACAGTCAAACGCTGTAACAATGCTCCGGCATGTGATGTATGCAATCTGCCCCCTCACCCGCCACCATGCTCACGTAGCTTTTGTGCAAATTGTTCAGGTGATCATCCATCCTCTTCTAATAAATGCCCAAAGTACATTCAATCCAAAGACATATTGAAAATCAAATGCCAAAATAAATGTTGCATGCGCGAAGCACTTAAAATGTATAAAGAGCAAACACCAACTTTACTCAACGCTTCTTTTGCCTCTGCCGCCAGAGAGGCCCAAAAACAGAACAATAATCAAAGTAACCAAAGTAAGCCACAAGCTATTCTACCAGCTACATCATCAAACATTCCACCTAAACCTTCTTCACTAAATTCTACCTGCTCAACTTCACAACAAAATAACTCAACTTCTAGCAACTTCACAACAGAAATCAATAACAATTCCCAAACAATCTCCACCCCGTCACCGTTTACCGATTCTGTTTCTTCATTTCCAACAAAATCTGTTTCAGTAATCCCCACAAATCACAATAACAACGATCTACAAGTAATTAGTCAACAAACTACATCCTCTTTAGTATCAAATGACTTCAGCTTCGACACTGTACCCCAAGTCTCTTTACCGTCACTTCTCTTAGATACCACTCTCTCTCATATTCTCTCACAAGTTCAAAGCACACATAATGCATACGATCCACAAGCATCCACATCTCAGACAACCATCTCCCACACTAACAATGAAATACAAAGTCAAACACAATACAATAGCCATGGGTAATAGCACAATTTTTGTGGCGCTAGCTCAATGACACCGGCGCCATCTGTGGTGTCAGCGCAATAGCGCAGTCAATTCATTTCAACACGGCCACGGTGTTAGATTCGCCTTGGCATCAACTCAAGCTGTCATCTCAATCATTTCTTTTAATTTTGGCGCTGAAAAGGCTTGCAAAAAATTCGGCTGCAGACTTAATGCTAGAAAATCAAGGTATGTATATTTAATAATTACTATATTATATATATATATAACAATTATTATTATAGAATCTATATGGTTTCAGAATCGGTGTTGGTTCGTCTATTTATTTAAGTCAAATTCCACCAAACAAACCAAAAAAAGCTTCGCTTCCAAATCATTTTTGTGCGACCACATGTATGCGACGTCTGCGGAATAGTATTTGCACGACCCAAAGCTCAATATCAGCATAAAAATCTACATCTAGGCATAAAAAGTAAGTGAATGCTCTGCGGAGTGTATTATTTGTTTCACGTTTGGTGCTGTAAAACGTTTGTACGGTTGGAGCTGAAATTGGTATGTTTTCTAAAATCTAGATGATTAATAAAAATGTGAGCTTATTTGCGATATTAAGCGGCGTTTTCTAAAGTAGTGANTATTACAAATACATACAATGTAAATTAGTGATTTGTTCAGATTACATTCCTTTTAAATTACTGGACTCTTAAATTAACTCAGGAATGTTTTTACTCTCCACTTATTTCTTGCTAAATATATCAAATTATTTCATTCAAAAACAAAAAACATCATTGCACATCCACAGGCCAAGCACTGTCATTTGACACCTCACTTTTGAAAATGGAACGAACTATATGTACATACCTATGTAAATGCCACAAGAACCCAAACTCTTCAACTATAAACCGCATTTACAGTGAAAGTATGAAAGTTATCCAAAAACCAATTGCACTTTTGAATTTAGCGTCCTCAATTTTTNCTGCGGAATAGTATTTGCACGACCCAAAGCTCAATATCAGCATAAAAATCTACATCTAGGCATAAAAAGTAAGTGAATGCTCTGCGGAGTGTATTATTTGTTTCACGTTTGGTGCTGTAAAACGTTTGTNCGAATTTTCCTTTAAATCCGTCCATAATTCTATTTTTGCCCATATTTTATGTGGAAGGGAAGCACTGTGCGCAGGTTTGATTTACGACCCTTTAAAAAGTTTTTATTAAGTACATTGTTCTAATTTTTAAATTCAAGTACTAAAAACATTCAGTCTTTTCATGAGTTTAATTTTCCCCGATTCGGTTCACTTTTCACTTTTGGTTTTCATGTATTTACTATGGGCAGAATACATTATTAACCTTTCCATNGATAAAATGTATTTGAAGACAAGATAAATTTTAAAAGCTGCTTGAGAAAAATTATGTACATTAGACTGCATCACACTGCATCNCACTTTTGGTTTTCA